CAAGGTGGATGAGATAGAATAAACAAAGAAGGAAAGATGGATGAGACGATACGTCAAAAGAAATATCTCATCACTATAGGCGAGCATTGAAGTGGTGTTTATGTTGGGGTGTAGAGTGGTCAGGGAGGGATAGTACCTCTGTATGGGGAAGGCCTGCCATGTCCTTTTCAGGACAGCCCTCTCTACATTGGTTCCCACCGGACACTCAACTCTCACCTGTGGCTCCACGAAGCTGCAGCATGCGCAGCGGCCACACCCCGGTAACCGCTTTGGCAGGCGGGCTGAACCAGGTAGAGGGTAGCTGGTCGGGTTTCAAACCCACTAGTGAGATAACAAGGGTCTGTCCCCCTACGCATGCAAAGACTGGCTCCGGCGGACTGCGCGGACGAAACTACTCGGTGGTTCAACGGGCAGAAAGGCGGTCCCAGCAGAGCGCCGCGGAGCGCGACAAGGGCACAGTGAGACAAGAAGACACTGCTGGCCATCCGCTGCATCCAGGCCCATCTCCGGCCGTCTCGATTTCGTCGTGCCACCGGAACTAGATGGACAGGGACAAGAGAGTGAGGCTGACGACTTTGCGCAACTCTCCCTCACTTAAATCAAATTCAAGCGCAAGTCATGACAAGACAGTCGCGTCCGAAAGAAAAAATGGAGACGGCAGCTGAGAATAGACCGAGAGAGTCCCACCTTCCAGCCTAATTCAGCCCCAAACATCCCCTGCCCCCACTGCGACAGACATTTCCGTGCGAAGATCGGCCTGATCAGCCATCTACGCACACACCCCACCCCTCCAGTGGTGTGAAGTCAAGGTCATCTTCACCAGCGAAGGACGAACATCATGTGTGTTATTCCACTATTTGAGACTTTGCAAACTCCCCATCCTGTAATTGGACACCGTTTGGAAAGTACAAGTACAAGTAATTGCATGTGATGGACCTCTGCTCTCAGTAAAATCACATCTGGATTGCTGTGGCGTCATGTGCGGAAAATGCTTTATACTCTTTTTTTTTAAGAATGAAAGGAAAGAAGTGGGGTTAAAATTCACTTTTGTCAGGACTAGCAGAACCTCTGATTTATCGCCCGTCTAAAAAACTAATAGATGTTGATGTCTTTAGGCCCCCATCGACACAATTTAGATCATTTAGGAGGCAGGCTTCAGACCATGCCTGTCAGGACCAACCCAGGCTGAGGGGATACAACATCCAAACAGAAAGATATTCAAGGAAAATTGGTCGCTTTAAGCACATGAGGGCTATCCCGAAAAATGCTGTTTGGAGAAAATCGAAGGTAAAGTTTCTGCCCCTTGTCCAATTTCTTCAAAAGACAAGGAGAATTTTCTCTATAACCAAATAAATATTCGCACCAATGAAACAAAACTTTTCCTATAAATAGGTCAATTCCCACTTTTGGTGTAGGTCAAGATTTCTGGAAACCCTCGTAATCTGGGTTAGCCCGCTTGTCCTTAAAAGCGACCAACTGTCTTCTCACTTGGGAATCAAATTCGGGTCCTTTGCGAAGCGCCTGTCTGCTACACCATAGACGCCGGTCGTCCAAGAGGGGCACTTACTTACTTGTTCGGATAATTAGGCATCATTGCAGGCGGCACAATGCCATAGCTACTCATCCCTCCTCTCCAGGATCCATGGAAGGGTCTGCCTGCTGATCGTGCCTGTCATCAGCTGGTTGGATATTCTTCTGGCTTTTCCACACAGGTTGCTGCCTCTCCCCGACCTCTAGAGACTCCAGCTTCCCTCGGTCTTTCCATTATGTGATATGTGGTGTCTTCATCCTATCTGTGGTCGTTGAACCATGCTGTCAAATGCTGCCATGAATGTTGGTGGATCTAATTGCATGCTGACGCCAATCAGCACGTCCATTGCCTTGAACTCCTCCAGGGCTAAAGATCCATACAATCCTTGTGAGTCTGCTGCTTCATATTGCCTCTCACCAGTCTACATACATCATGTGTTTCTTCATCTTTTCGAGGGTACTCATTGCGTCAGTGACGAGGATGGCAGACTGATACTCCTTCGTCTTAATCCAGATAAGGACTTCTGCGATGGCTTTCATCCCCATGCACGTGCTGGAGGTGGTTATACTAATGTCAACAAACAGCTTTCTCTCTCTCTCTCTCTCTCTCTCTCTCTCTCTCTCTCTC